TATAAAAAAAATCAGGCTTAAAATAAAAAATACTTAATTTGAAAAGTAATACAACAAAATAATTCAGTAATTTTTCTTTTATTATTGTCAATTAAATATTTTAATGTATAATTTTCTCATATAATTTCACACAAATAATCTATCTCTTTTATTAATTTTTTATTTAAAAAGATATTTAAATTAACAAAAAGTAATATTAAATATGTAATAAAGGTATTTTAGTCAAGTGGCATTAATTAACCTTTTAAATTTTATTTTTCAATAATTTTGGACTTTAACAAGAACTTATCTCATTAAACAACAACATAAAAAATATTACATTGTGCGAAAGGTTTTTAAATAAGGAAAGTTTTAGCATGTGTCAAAAGAACCATAAACAAAGGATTATATAAAAATTTAGCATGTCATGTGATTTTTCTTCATTGGTTTCTCTTTTAATATATAACTAGATATATAATATATTTTTAATGCAATATGACTAAATAGTTGAGTCGAACAAAAAAGTACCAAATAAAAGATGAGGAGCATCAAATCTAATTAAATCTAATACAATTAATTAGATAGAACTTAGAATTAAAAGGAAAATAAATACAATTTTATGAAATGATATTAATAAAAGTTGAAAGATATTATATAAAAGAGGTGGGGTTATTATCACATCATAAATATTTAATACCACATCATTTTAATATAATTGTCTATTTTACTCTTACATTATATTTTTTCTCAAATTTTTTTTTGTTTTTTAATAAATTAAAAAATTTAATAATCAATGAAGATAAAAAAGTACAATATTAGTAATTAAGGATGTGGCAATGACATTACCTTGTAAGAGAAGAAAAGAAGACTTTTGAATATAGGTTTTGTATATATCTAAATTTAAGACTTTTCTGTTGATAGTATTGTCTTTTCTTGTCTACCTCTCTCCACATGAGTAGTTTTAAACTTTTAATATTGTTAAAAAATAAATAAAGTTTCACACTTTTTTTAATTTTACAAATATCATATAATAATTATTTAAATTTAAATACTATTGTATTAATTATTATTAATTATTAATTACTTAAAAAACAGAAATGGAAGCGTTGCAAGAAATGGCCAAAGAAAGAAAGAACAAAAAAAAAAGGTTCCGAGTGTTCTTGAAAAAAAGTGTAGCCAACAAAATGTACTGTATAAATTTATATATATATGTATAATATTGTTTACACCCTAAATTATAAAAATTAAAAACCATGCCACATGTAAAAATTTGTAAATAGATGAAGGAAATTTATCATGTCAAATATGTAATTCTGAGCCCATGATAGATTAACTACCACTTTGGAAAGAAAGAGGTAAAAAATAGCTGCAACAGGGACAGAAGCTTGCGGGGGAAGAGCCATGGAGGTAAAAGGACTCATTTTCATGAGGTATACATTGATGTGGCAGATCTGCATGTTTTTATAGAAATTGAATCGAATTGTTGTTTTCGACATCGGTGGCCCACATCTTATTCTAATCGAACCTCTGGTAGGAATTTCAGCACGTTCCATTTCCCTATTGGCTTCCGCGTTCAATTACACATCATATTCTAATCAAATACACATCTTATTCTTACATAAAAAAAAAAATACACATCTTATTCTCATTACCTATTTTCAAAAGAAAAAATACACATCTTATTCTAATCAAACCTCTGGTAGAATTTTCAGCACGTTCCATTTCCCTATTGGCTTCCGCGTTCAATTACACATCTTATTCTAATCAAACCTCTGGTAGGAATTTCAGCACGTTCCATTTCCCTATTGGCTTCCGCGTTCAATTACACATCATTGTACCACCAAGCCAAAATAATCCTTTGTCGTTACTTCGT